ACGTTAACAAAGGCACTGTCTGCACCAAGATATCGCGAAAGCCCTGTCGTCTCCCCGAACTCGCTCAAAATATCAACTGCTTCCTGCGTGGACTTCCACATATCGAAACAGTGTAATTCTGTATCTAGTTCTTTTACTAGTAAATCGTCAGAATATTCTCACCCACCTCGAATAAACTTTCTCTAATTTTTCTCTCATTTATTAAAGTGTAGAATTTCTTATATTGTCTTTTTTGTTTGCAATTGTTTTACCTATCCACTGTAAAAATCGTAAACTGCTGAAAATTCACCCTTTGGGTGCATAAAGCTTTTCTTGACTTGACTGACTGATAAGCGAGGGATTCAATAGACAAAAGTGCATTGGTAGCTTTTCTCCAGTGACTGAAATGTGATTTTGCTGTTGTTTCACTGTGGCCTCAACTTACATCAGATCTTCATATTATCTCAAATTATACGCTCTTTTTATGGCTTATTTATACGCTGAAGATAACGAGCTAGTCACTGGTTGTTCTCACCCACCCACTCTTCCAGTTCGTTCACAGCAGGGGGATTTCGCGCGTCGATGCTCTCATTTGGAGGGAATGCTGAACAAAGTGAATGCGATGACCAACGATCTGAATCAGTCTTATCGTCGTCAACAATCCAAAGTGGTATCCCCGACCGCTATGGACACCCGGTTAGATCATCTACCGAAATCCACTTGTGATCTGATCCGACCGGTTGTGCGGGCCGAGATGCAAAACGCTTTTGTGAACAGTAAGTATATTTTCGGCGAATCCTTTCCTTTATTTGCAGCCTTTCAAGTTTGGAAGTCGGGGTCAATTAGTTCAGTCATGTATTGATTGTATCGTGTGATTCCGCTAGTATATTTGCTCCAAGGTCCTATCCAAAATGCTGTTTTTTGAGAGAATCATACTTTGATTACGCAGTTTGTGGTGGGCCAGTACCAAACTGATCAGTTTCTATGCATTTTGAACGGAGCTGTCTGGTTGTCAGGTGACCATGTGCAGTCAATGCCAAGACCTTTCTACTGCGTGACAGGTTCCCGTGAACTCTTCGCACAACGTCGTACTAAATGACAAACAGGAATACGTGTATTGCTTTCTTGACGTAAATCTACAAAAAGAGAAAATGAATGGATGGTGTGGGCAATACCATATATTCTACATGTGAAGGTGCCTTTGTTTGTGTTCATCTGATATTGGTTTTTATCCCTCTGAACCCACGTTCTAGAACCTATGGTGCGCATTTACGAAGAATTTTCGGGTACATTTCAAAAGGCACTTATCGGATAACCAGTTTTGTGATGTTTGATTGAATCCCGCTCAAATGCATCACGACCGGGCGTATGCACATAGTCTTTCCCCTACGTTCCATGGATGGGCTGAATACCAAAGGAGACAAAGTGGTATATTCTCTTGACACAGTCATTTCTATAATTTCGCTTGCTCTTTGAATTTGTCAATTGGTTTGCGCGACGGTAAAACGAATTCAGGCTCAATTAGATAAACCTAAATTCGGTTTGACGCAGAGGTTTTAGGTAATCGCGGTCGTCCACTGGAACAAATGGTCGACATCCAAAGAATGCAGTGGTTGGAACATGTGTTGCTCATGTCACCAAATAGGTTGGCACGGCACGCGATGTTTGCCGAGGCAGGAAGCTGATAGAGAACGGTCAATGGCGGTCAAACTAAGGCCTGGCATGATGGTATGAAAATCCCAACCCAGGACACTAGGTCACGTGGATACCGTTAGGCTTACCGGATGGGGACCTTGGAATCACGTTAGCTGAGGTTAGAGACACTGCGTGATACGGCTGTGTCGCAAGCACTGGCAGTCTTGTACCTACTCACTATCCTTACGACCTTAGTCTACAGTGCGATTTTTGATTTTTTTTCCAACTGGTTGTTTTTGCTTTGAACGATCTCGCTAACTACCTCGGGGATAGATAGACAGATATCCCCACAGAAAGAAATCCAAGGGGACAGATCAGGTGACCTTGGAGGCCATTCCTTCGGTCCTCCTCGGCCAGTCCATCTGCAGTTAAGTTCCGTGTCGAGGAAACTTCTCACCACCAGAACATTGTGTGGCGGTGCACCGTCATGTTGGAACCAAACTGTAGTACCAACTTCAGTTTCTATACGCCTGATGGCAGGTACCACATTATCTTGTAACATTTGCAAGTATGAGGCGCCTCTTCATGTGATATCTGAAGCGAACGGTTCACTCCCGAAAACCGAGAACTATCGAGGAACTTAAACAGAGTATTGTGGCGCAGTGCGAAAGTATTCCAACTGCTACCATTCTGAAGGTGAAGGAAAACTATCTTCACCGGATTTTGCTATGCAAGCAGCAGAAAACATGTGGAAAATATGTGGAACATCTTTTATGATATGAATGTGGTTATTCCCGTAATATTTGTTCTTTCTTTCGGAATTCTATCTCCGAGGTAGTTAGCGAGGTCGTTCAACGCAAAAATAACCAGTTGGAAAAAAATCAAGAAGAGTTTTGCGTTGGCCTACATTAGGAGATATTGTTGTCCGTTATTAAGACAAGTTCAAAGTTTTATTATGATTATCTGTTTACTGAACCCGCTTCGAAAAATGGTGCGTGTATCTTAGACGAGTTAAGCGTTGGCCCCGTGTCATAATCGCGTAAGCATTTTCCATTCGGAATTTCCCACATGGCGCACCGCTCCACAACTGATTCTTATGGGATGATTCTCTACCAACACAGGCTGCATCGGATTCGGAACCTATCCTCCTCCTGCGCCGACCCGAAAATCACACGACCGATCGGGTTGATTTATCGATCGATCGAATGGCTCAGCCACAACAAGGGACCTGGTGCTTGCTCAGCTAAC